AAAATTGATATATGGTTCACTCACTGGTTCTTTCTGGTTTCTCCATTGATAAGATTTTACCTATAGCCTTGACTTCCTGTTAGTTATGTCATTGTCTTTAAAACTCTTAGAGAACTTGATGATTGTTTTCCCAGAACTGCAAGATGCTTGAAACAGGACTATACCAGCTAATAACATTTTACTCCTGGGGGAATTCTGCACCAGTGTGCATGTGCAGAATTTATGTCCCCCACAGATTTCCTTGCTTCCCCGCAGAAAAATGATTTTCTGAGGTGGAAGCAAGGGGAAGCCACAAGAGTGGCCATCTGACCCTCCCCAGCAGTATGTTTTGGGTGCCTGGGGCAGTTGGCAGAGAGGTAAATCACTGTGGGGCGGGGGCAGGAGTGGGGAAGACCTGGCTGGTGGCTCCTACCCTGCACCAGACTCAGCTGCTAGTCTGGTTGGGCTGGGGAGGATGGGACTGCCTCTTCCCCTGCACAGCATCTAGGGCTGGGTCAGACAAACCCCCAGATTTCTCCCCAGGCTGCAGGAAACTCTGCAAACTCACACACACACCCCGCCCCGCCCCCATTGCTCCTCAGCTGCAGGGGAGGGATCACTGTACAGGGAGCTGATCCCCCATCCACTCAACCTCCATGCATCCAGACTCCCTCATATCCAGACCCTCCTGCCGAGCTCACCCCCTGCACTCAGACCTCCCCCCCGCCAAGCCCCACTCCCCCTGCACCTGAATCATCCTGATGAGTCACCCAGATCCCCAGCCCACCGAGACCCAACCAGCTGCACCTGGATCTCCGACCTCACTAAGCCCCACTCCCCTAGCATCTGGACCCCCACGCTGAACCCCCAACACCCAGACCCCCATGCGGAGCTCTGTCCCTCCCCACATCCAGATCCTCCCCCAACTAAGCTCCAACCACCTTCACCTGGACCCCCCTGCATTACTTGTAAAAGGGGAGGGGAAAGCTGAACTGGAGATATCACTTTATTTACCAGGTAATGTCCCTTGCACATCATCATGCTATTTAAAATATTACAAATTTCTCTAGTGTTTGGTATTTTAAATATACAGAACACCAAAGTAGTTTAAGATTATAAAGCTTTCCTATTTTTCTAGTATTTTAAATAGTCACAAAATACTCAAAAACTGCTACAATAAATAGTAGCAGACCATAACAGGATAGGTTTCAGAGGAACAGCCGTGTTAGTCTGTATTCGCAAAAAGAAAAGGAGTACTTGTGGCACCTTAGAGACTAACCAATTTATTTGAGCATGAGCTTTCGTGAGCTACAGGATAGTTACATTTTAGGACCCTGCATAGGAATGCAAAGTTCTTTTGCTGAGTCATCCTACATAAAGATGCAGGGTAGTTTTTGTACAGTTAGAGTGACAGGTGCATCTTGTTAGGTACAGCCAGAATACAAGACGTGTATAGAATATAGCTCTGCAAAGCAAAGAAGTGAGGTAAAGGAAATTCCAGGGTCACTCCAAAAACAGCCATATGCGGGATGGAGGGAATCTTATTTTGATTATAAGTAATGTCAAACCCCATAAAGGGGGTATGCTTATGTATATAGAGTATGTATATTGTTCAGAGCCATATCAGAACTCAGCTGCTTACACAAACACTTTGTATAGAAAAACTACTTTTCCACGTACACAGCTAATACGGGTTTCAGAGTAGCAGCTGTGTTAGTCTGTTACTAGAAAAAAGAGGGGTATTTAAGCAAGGGACAAAGGAGGACTTGTGGCACCTTAGAGACTAACCAATTTATTTGAGCATAAGCTTTCGTGAGCTACAGCTCACTTCATCGGATGCTGTAGCTCACGCTCAAATAAATTGGTTAGTCTCTAAGGTGCCACAAGTCCTCCTTTTCTTTTTGCGGCTAATATAAAACGTTAATGAAGGAAATTACAAGACAAGACAGCTGGAAGATAAAAGGTTAATTTTGCTACCTCTATTAGAAGTATTTAGAGCATTATTTCTTTAAAAGGGAAGTGTTAGCTAAAAAGGAAATGTTAGTGGGACCAAAGTATAGATTTTTAAGGAGTATTTTCTTCAAGCTATCACTATTTCACTGATGGTTATACCCTCTTACAAACCAGTGCAAAATCAATGGGCCACCTGAGCGCAAGGGCAAGAGACCCCATGCCTCTCCCATACCTGCACAGAGAGTCCTTTACCAGTCAGTTCCAGCAAAACAATCAGGCTCAATTAGAGGCAGCCCATGAACGAGATAGGGCTGCATGCTTCAGGAGATTTCTAGAGCAAGCAAATGCTTGTGCCCTTTGTCATTTTGACACAGCCACTATCACAGAAAATAAATCTAGTTATTTCTGTTCATTAGAAGCAAGCAGTCCTCGCTCCCCTCCATTTGCCAGAGGCACATAAGGCTGTAACCTGAGCAGCCCAAGATTCCCCAGGCACCTGACCTGGGAGGGGAGTCTCCTAAGCCTGGGAATCCCCCTATCACACCTCCTCCCATGCCCCACGCGGATCCTGTAATTCCTTTTCCTAGCCTCTGTAAACCCTCCTCTGCAAGACTTGACTGGGCCCTACAGAGGCTGCCTTATCCCGGCCCAATAGCTCCAGAGCAAGCGGGCGAAGCCGGAACCTCTATTAAGAGCGCAAGTGGAAGTGGATGGGCGGGCTGTCTCAATCCTTCCCAGTAACAGACACATGCCCTCTCCAATAAGCAGTGAGGATCGTGCGGCGCTGGCCAATGGCAAGGTAGAGGGCGGGATTAGCTAGCCAGGCGCCGGGAGCCTTGGTAACGCGCGGGCCGCATGTTACCCGCGCCTGTCTGGAGCGGAGGGAGTTGCCGCCCAGTGTCTGCCCCGCAGCCCTGAGCCCGTGAAGATGAAGATCGAGGAGGTGAAGAGCACGTCGAAGACGCAGCGCATCGCCGCGCACAGCCACGTGAAGGGGCTGGGGCTGGATGAGAGCGGCGCGGCCAAGCCGGCGGGGGCCGGGCTGGTGGGGCAGGAGAACGCCCGGGAGGTGAGAGGCCCCGACCCACAGGAGGCCGGGATGGGAGCGGGGGTGCCCAGAAGGCAGAAAGCGCCCCCGTGGCTGAGCGGCGAGGCCGTTGTTGCGGGGGGCTCTGCTGCCCGTTTGCGCGTCCCGCCCCCTCGCGCAGGGCCCCATCCCTTACCCGCGCTGGCGCCGAAACAACCAGCTGGGCGTTGAAATGTCCGGCCCGGCTGCTTCGTGGGGCCCCTGCCGGGGCTACTTGTTCGGCCCCCTCCCGCGGCCACCTGGGGGGGCCGCAGTCCAGCTACTTAAACCTTTGTCTCTCCTGTGGGCCCGCTGGTAAAACCCCAGATCCATGCGCCCTGCAGGCTCCTCAGTCTAACCTCCGCTGTGGCAGCTCACCCGTATAGCACTACGCATCCACAGATGTCCAAGCACTTTAACAACAGAAGATTGGTGCCGTCATCTGTTTCTTCTGGTGGGGAAACTGAGGCACAGAGAGGCACAGTGACTTGCCCAAGGTCCCACGGCAGCTCATTAGCATAACGTGGGTGGAACCCAGATCTGCTAACTCTGAGACCCATGTCTTATCCACTGGACCACGCTCTCATGTGTCTTTCTTTATACCCTAAATGTTTTAAGAGCCACTCCAGTCTCAAACGCTTATAGGTACATGTAAGAAGTTTGCGTTTACAGTAAAATGTCAGAACTCCTGGGCTCTGTTTGTACTTCTGCCACAGATTTTCATTGATTTGGGGAAATCACTTCTGTCTCTGCCTGAGTTTCGCCATTTATTACTGAGATCACACTTAATCTTAATGGTGTTATGAGTGGTAATTCTTATTAAGCACGGTGGGTTCCTCTGGAATGAAAGGTGCTCTGGCAGTGTAAAAGTATTATTGTGTCTAAACTGGTTGAGAATGCTCCTTTAGTAATCTTTAGGTGTTCTGATAAATATCTAAATTAATTTCTTTAATTTATAGGCTTGTGGTGTTATAGTGGAATTGATCAAAAGCAAGAAAATGGCTGGTAGAGCTGTGCTGTTGGCAGGACCTCCTGGAACTGGCAAGGTATTGTCTTTCTTCTCAGTGCTGAAGCTGTTCTCTACCACTCTATCTTAAATATAGTGGGGTCAAATATTTCCTAGTAATAATTTCAACAGATACCTTCTCCAGTTACTGGAACTTTTTTTAAGTATAAACTTGAGCCAAAGTTGAGCCAGTATTGATCCTTGCTCCAAATTGTATTTTGCCATGTTATGAGCATGCGGTGGCAGTGTCCCATTCTAGTGCCAACATTGTAAAAACCACTTTGCGTACATGAGTGAATGAAAAGGTAATATGAAGTGTGTGATTTTTAAAGAAAGGTCTTCTTAAACATATAAATTTGGGGTTTTAAAAGCATTTAAACTTTTGTTTTTTGCACTTTACAAGTCTTAACACCTTTCATACTGAATGTTAAAAAGACACGGCCCAATACTACTAAACTGTTTTATGACTAGCTTGAAGTGTTTTTTGGCAGTGCTTTATAATCCTTGGATAAAAGCCATGATGTAAGGGGAAAGTGCTACAGTTGTATATGAGAAAGTAGAGTGGGTAAGAACATAGGACCTGGGAGTCAGGATTCCTAGGTTACACTTCTCATTCTTCCATCATCTCATTGGAGGCACTTGTAGTGCTCTATTTATAAAATTGAGCACTGTGTGGCTTAAAAGAATATTTTTGAAGCACTTACAGATTCTTGGACAAAAGGTGATTTAATGAGCAAAGTATTTTAACCTTCTGGAGTGGCAATCGTCTTTTCCACAAGATCTTTTAGTCATTATACATTTATTTCTCATGAGAATTTTTAAGTGTGTAATAGTTCAGTCTCTCGAATTTTTATAGACTGCTTTGGCTCTAGCTATTGCTCAAGAGTTGGGAAGCAAGGTTCCGTTTTGTCCTATGGTTGGAAGTGAGGTATACTCCACCGAGATCAAGAAGACAGAAGTCCTGATGGAAAATTTCAGAAGAGCCATAGGTAAGTGTTAAAATAGAAGAAGAGTAAAGTGTTTATGTTTGGGTTTTTAAAAAAAGGAAAAAAAAATTTGAACAACAGAACACTAGCTTTTTTCCGTAGTTCTGGTGAGGGGCCATGTTTTCATGCTCCAGTTTTCAATGTTCTTCTAGCCATGTTTCATTTGGTCTTGTTCCTCATCTTAGCTGAGTCAGTATGGGTTTTCTGCACTTTGAAACTTAATGCAGTGTTCATGTCTTTGTCACCTCAGTTATTCCAGTTCATCTCCCTTCCAAAGTTGTGGCGGGGAAAACGTTTCCATTCTCTTGCCTTGTCCTCCAGGATGTTCTCCTGTTCCTGCATATTGTTGCTGGACAAAGTTAGAAAAAAATTCTCTTTAGAATCTGTCAACATGAGTCTTAGGTCTGGAGCGTTTTGTAGAGAGGGAAATGCTCCTCTTTTTCTCTTGACAACATTCTCAATCCTTGCTAGCCAAAAACTTAAACCTAAGTCTCCTACATATCAGTACTTTGCCTGACATTTTATTCTAAGTGAGCACAAGAAAATGTTCCATGCTAGTAAGATGAGTATCTTATTAAGTGGTAAATGCATTCTAGAATTAAAGAGGAAATTAACTTGAATTGTCTGGGTTTCATTTTATCTGAAAGAACAAAGTTAAATTTGCAACAAAAGATCATTGAGTCTTTAAATTAATCTTCTTATATTACTTTTATATGATTGCTACTGACAACTGATAAAGTCAGTCAAAAATTTCCCTTGGATGCATTTGGATTACATAAAGATAGCCTAATTGTTTTCAGTCTGAACACAGCATCAGTTAATTTCCATGGCTTCTATGTAGTGATTCACCATGGATTTCAGCTAGGTATTTGGTGAAGAATCTCTCTCAAGCCTGCAACCAAACAAAAGTGTCCCATTGATTTCTATAAAAAAGCAAATTTCAGTAGTCTAATCTGTAAGTTACCGTTAGGTTGGCAGAGTTTGCGAGGAGGGAGATCAGAGATGAGAGAGAGCAGTCTACAGTATTTCCTTGATGTGATGAAATTCCTTGTCAGAGCTTTGGAAACTTGAACCAGCAGATGAAACCTGTCTCCATATTGTCATTCCTAGAGATAGCAGTAATTTAACTCCCTCTAGTTAACAGCCGACCACATTGTTGGTGCTTCACATTCCCTGCGGGTCAGCACACGGATGCTTTTAAACGAAGAGTGGTGCTAGTGAAAGACTGAGATTCTTCTATTCCCTTTTGTTGAATTCCATGTCAGATTTACCTAATGCAAGTTATTGTAAAACATTCCTTTGGGGAGATTTGTTTCTTTTAACACCACTTACAAAAAATCCAAACATATTTTAAAGGACTAATAATAAGCCCCTGTTTTACATGAAGTAAACACTTTTCAGTCATGCTCAGATCTAATTTTTTACTTTCATTGTCATAAAAAGGAATTTCTAGTGCATGTTTTCAGAAAAGGGTTTTGTTTTCTAATTGGAATAACCCCAATGCAAGGCATGTGATGACTGTAAGATAACACTTCTTAGGTGTAGGAGCAACTTGTCTCAAGTCTCACTGTGATCCTGATACTTACTGTGTGCTATGTCATGTGATTCTTCACATAGCAGGTCACAACATGTGTGGCCTGTTATACATCTCATGCATAGCACTTTCAGTTGGTTTAGCCACTGCAGTGTTATTGAAATGATTCTGACTAACAGTCAAATACCCGAGTCTCATTCACAGGGTTTCTTATTCTTGGATGCAGCAAGAGTCTGCTGTGTTTGGGGACAGTACCCGTACGGACAGCCACTAGTGCATCAGATTCTCCAATTGTTCTGGGCCCTGCTCATTGACATGCTTCCTAACAATGTACCCAGTGTGGGTCCCATCTCTTGTTTAGATTGTTTTCTTTGCCATATTGAAGGTGCTCTCTGTCAGAATTATTATTGTCAGGATTCCTTAATACTAGAGTTATTATCAGGGTCTGACATGTGCTTGGTGCTGTTCAGGACTCCTCAAGACAGGCAGTCTCTGCTGTGGAGAGCTTATGGTTCATAAAAGACATAAAAAGACAAGATGTACTGGGACTAGAAGATTATAGGGCAATTCTGTCCTCTGATTTAAAAAAAAAAAAAGTAGCACAGATGTTAATCCTGTACAGAGCTTATTAGCATTTGGCAAAGATATTGACAGAATTTGTTAAAGCACAGTTACAGTCAAAAATCTCTCTTAAAATAGCCACTGCTTAAACAGTATATTTATTCCTTATGTCTCCAACCTATACTTGCTTACGTGGCAAATAAAATTTTACTCCTCTTAGTACTGTTAAGCCAATAAATACAGGACCCCATAAGTTCCATTTCTGGAATCATGCATCTGAATATAACCGCAGGAAATACCTCCATTAGAGAGCTCTTCGACCTAGATCATCTTCATATCTAAACTCCAAATTTGCCTCTTGCCTAAAATAAACCTTGCTCCTACTACAACCAATTAAAATCTCTAACAACTAAGGAGCAATAATAAACAATTCATACCATTGGCTAGAGCAACCACCATTAGCTGTAAATTTCTGTGATATGCTATCTTCCCTGCATCATTTCATGTTACTTAAATAATAAGGTGTTCAAAGCAGAGACTTGTTAATTTCTCTGTTAAGGCACACCCAAGACACTATATAGAAATGTTAAATTTCTGAAATTATATTCTATGTGGTGTGTATTGCAGGGTATTTCAGAACAAAGATAAACTAACAATTCCACTGAAAATTATCAAACTCTTTAATTCACATTTATGTCTTACTTTAAAAATCCCATTCTTAATACAAGACCAGCAGGGGGAGACAGACCCATATTATTTTTGTCAAAATTATATCCCCCGCCATCAGCAACTCAAGATTACTGGTGAAGTGTCTGATCCATGTATTTATTTCAAAGCAAAATGTAAAGCTGCAAAATGTAAAGCTACAAAACAAGGGAACTTTTATAGGGTTCTGGTGACCTCCAGTCCTGTACAGAATGAGTTCCCTTGTATCTCAATACAGTCCACTTGTTGTTTTTGGGATGGTGTATGAACCTCATAACATATGTATTTTACAGTGCCTGTTGAGGAGTGGATTCTTTGAACTTTCATGTAGTTGGAACCTTTGCACAATAGTAGTAGTGGTGTTTATTCTTAGGATAATCTGACCATAAAACTCTCTCCACCCCATATTTAGAAATTTAAAATATAAATTAAAGTTTTGATTATAGATGGCCATAGAGGGAGTACAGTAACCCCTCACTTAACGTCCTCTTGCTTAACATTGTTTCAATGTTACATCCCTGCTCCATTACAGAACATGCCCATTGAAAGTTGTGCAATGCTCCCCTATAATGAGCTGGCAACAGGCCCCCTCCCCCCCACCGCATCCCCCCCGCTGGCGGACCCCACAGATCAGCGCCTTCCCCCTGCTCCCCCCGCCTCCTACCCATGACAATCAGCTGACTTGCTGCCTTCAGGAGGCTGGGGGGAAGGACCAGGGGGCTGCGCGCAGCCTCCCCCTTGCCTCCTGAATGCCACAAACCAGCTGATTGCAGGAGACAGGGGAAGGAGGGGGAAGGCTGCGCACCGCATCCTCTCTCCTCCCCCCAAGCCTGAATGCTGCAAGACAGCTGATTGCCGCAGGCAGGAGACGGGGGAGCAAGAGGAAGGCGCTGATCCATGGGGTCCGCCGGCGGGCGGGAGGCACTGGGGGCGGTGTGTAGGGGAGCTGATGGGGGGCTGCCAGCCTGTTTAATACCTACATTAAATGGATTATTTAAAATGTATATAATGCCTTTTGTCTGGCAATAAATTTTCCCTGGAACCTAACCCCCCCATTTACATTAATTCTTATGGGGAAATTGGATTTGCTTAACATCGTTTCACTTAAAGTCACATTTTTCAGGAACATAACTACAACGTTAAGTGAGGAGTTACTATAATAGATACTATGGTAATGGGAGTCCTAGAGAAGTACACAGACTAGAAAAGTCTGCATATCTCTAAAGGGGCTCTACTGTCAGAAATCCAGGAGTGGTTTGAATTTTGCACACCACCAGAGGTCTCTTAATTATATATGTGGTCCATCTTTGGCTATAATATATTAATTTAAAAAACAAACACTTTAAATGTTAAACATTAACCTCTGTCAGAATCTCTTTAAAATAAAATAGTTAACATGCATTTTTATCTTTAACTTTGTTACATCTGATGAAGTGAGCTCACGAAAGCTTATGCTCAAATAAATTTGTTAGTCTCTAAGGTGCCACAAGTACTCCTTTTCTTTTTGTTACTAGAATCTCTAAAGTTACATGAAGGCATTGGTTTTTAAAGTCTCAGTGTCCCTAATACCATCACTGTTGGTCAGGATTTTGGCTTAAACTGCATGAATGTCCTTAGCTTTCCGATTAAGTGACCTGGGGATCAATTTTCTTTCCTACTAATATTAAAAAAAAACAAACCCAAGGTATTAATTTTATTTTCTAGTTTCCAAAGTAGGGAATTACCATGAAGTACATTGTAGTATGTAAACACCCTCAATGCTCTCAAGTTTATAGACATTGGCCAGAATGACTTCTAGATGGTGAGAGTCAAGAATAATTAAATGTAAATGGCCACTCATTTAAACACTGCAATTCATCTAAACTATTTCTTGTAGGATTGAGGATAAAAGAGACCAAGGAAGTTTATGAAGGTGAAGTCACAGAATTAACTCCATGCGAGACTGAGAACCCGATGGGTGGATATGGCAAAACTATTAGCCATGTAATTATAGGACTCAAAACAGCAAAAGGAACAAAGCAGCTGAAGGTATATATGATAAATTCTCTGGCATGTCATTCCGTGTCCCAGATATGCATCCTTGCACCTTTTGTTCCCATCTTACCTAATTTTGTTATCTCTAGCCTAGTACCAAATAAAGTTAAAAATAGCCCATTTCTTCCCCCTGTCACCTGCGTACTGGTAGTAAACAAGTTGACCTGTTCATATTATATAGAAATATTACTCTTGGGTCTCTTACTAGTACTTTAAAGACTTAACTTCAGATAACCTTCTGTGTTCAGCTACAGGGGGATTTGTTGATCCAGGGGTCCTCTGAAAACTGCCATTTCCCCCTAACTTTCCCCACCAAACACACACCTTCAGACAGCTCAAAGGATAGCTCAGACTGCAAGAAATGCCTGAGTGTGCCACTTTGATAGCATTACCAGCCCCATGGAATAAAGGACTGAACTCAGGAGCCAAATGGATCTGCCTCTCCAGGGCAGCACATTTTTCTGGTATGTGATGCTGAGCTTGACCCCAACTACAGCTCCATATTTATAACAACAATTAAATACACAAGAAAACATTTTTTTTTAAAAAAATTGGTACTCCACCTGAATATTGGAAGATAGCTTCTTGAAATCTTGCCTGTATTAGTGTATATTATTTCATATGTTCCTTGCCTCCTTTTTATGTTAAGGAGGAAGGTCCAGTGGTCTGAACATGTGGCTGGGAGCCAAAAACCCAGTTCTGTTCCTAAGTCAGACCCTGACTCCCTTTGTTTCTGTAGACAAGTCACTTAATCTGTACCTCAGTTTTCCTTCCCTATACAGTATATAAAATGGCGATAAGAGAATTTACAGCAGCATCTCTGCTGTTTAGCACGTATTGTCTTCTCTTTGTTCATTTTGAAGATGCAAAATAAGAGAATCCTTAGTGGAAGTAAATGAACCATCCACGCAAAAAAAACAAAAGCACATGCCATGTTCTGGCTTCCACCTTGCTCATTTAGTAACTGCATGTAGGAAAGAGAACAAAAGGTCAGTCATCGCGATGGTCCCTTCTGACCTTAAAGTCTGAGACTATGAATAAAAGGGTCACATCACTCCATAAAAACATAAAAAGACTTTTGAGTGGTCAACAGGTGCAGTTTATTCCAGAACTAACAGCTAGCCCTTTATAGGGTTTGACTAGCAGCCAAGAAAAGCACTGCACCCTGAGAACAAAGAGTATATCAGTATGAAATGTAAGGCATCCTCTTCCTGATATATACCAGCATCCTCACAACTTGGCATAATGCAATTTGTATTATAACATTAATTCATCAGAAAAACAGAGTAGGCAAGAAAAGTTTAAATACCCTCTGTAAATAAAAGTTAAGTAAAATAGTAAATATGGCTTAGTCAAAAAGCCTCTTGCTCAAATAGCAGGGGAAGTGAATAAGGAAATTTTACAATACCCTTTGTGCAGCCTGTTCTAGGTCTTGCCCTAAAGATTGAATTGAACCTCAGAATTTTCAACTTTGTGAAATGTTAACTTATTTTGTCTGACTGTCTAACAAGCTTTGGTTTAAATCTCTTGTTTCATGCTCATTCTGCAATACAATGGAACTGTCTAATCTCCCATGTTGTTTGTCTCCAGTTGGACCCCAGCATCTTTGAAAGTTTACAGAAGGAGCGAGTGGAAGCCGGGGATGTGATTTACATTGAAGCAAACAGTGGAGCTGTCAAGGTAAAGCCAAAACATGACTTGACTGTTACCCTGCTTTGTGTACTCAAAGAACTTCCAGTGTCCCTCTGCCAAAGGCCCTGTGACCTATTAACCTTATTTGGCTTGGGCAAGCTGGATAAGACTGTGTAAAAGAAAGGCCCGGGACTTCGCTGCTGTGGAGGGAGACATTCCTCCTGCCTCAAGACAGGGTGGTCATCCAGTTCACAATTAAGGTCATCTTGGCAAGGAAGCCATCCCTGCAGCTGTCTGAGATGAGCTTTCTTTCCTTTAACCTTTAAGACCAAGACATCTTTTCAAAAGGGAGGGAAAAAACCCAAACAACTTTAGTCATTCTCAAACTGAAATATGCAGTGTATTTAATCTTTCTTTTATCTCTGATATTTTCTCCACAAGATGTATGCATGTAGAAGGGAATACTGCATTAGTTAGCATTCTTTTTATATCTGATTTAAAATGTAGTGTACAGTGATACTTGCTGTTTAATGGATGAGCATAATATTTCGTATCGTATAATAAATCACCCACCTACAAAGAAGTCTTGAACAGTTCTCCCAATCTCTAGTTAATCTGCTGGATTTGTCCTTTAGCAGAAATTGCATACAGTTAAAAGAAGAGCAGAGGGAGGTGGAATATTCAGTGGGAAAATATCAGGTGTTTTTTAACAGGGTTTTTGAGCCTTGATCAGTAGATAGGATATGCATGTTGCTAAGCGGGGAACAAGGCATATTCTGAAGTGTCAACCAAAGCTTGTCAGGACTGGAATTGTGAACCAAGCCCTTTATCAACTGTATGTCACTCAAAGTCTTGGCAATGAAACTAACTGTATACGTGTGTTTCTCTTCCCCCTCTACCTCTCTTCTCCTCCTCCACTCCTCCACCAACCCTTTTCCACAGAGGCAAGGCAGATGTGATACTTATGCCACAGAATTTGACCTTGAAGCTGAAGAGTACGTCCCCTTGCCAAAGGGCGATGTACACAAGAAAAAAGAAATTATTCAGGATGTCACCCTTCATGACCTGGATGTGGCCAATGCTAGACCTCAGGTACTTGACTCTAGAGACTAAATCTGTGCAAAAAACTGTTTTAGCCTGAGGATGGGTACCAGACTAACCCAAGGGCATGTGGCAAAAGGATGAGAAGCAGGGAGGATGGGGCATGCTGCAGGCTGTGGGTTCTGCTCACTCCACTGAAAACATGCCACTATTGAAAAAACAGTAGGTAGCACCTTGAAACCCATCTTCTCTCCCTTTTCCTGCAGTTCCTGGCCACAGAACCAGCTCCATAAACGTTCAGGGAGCAATTTGCTTGCTCAGTCTTTGTGTATCTGCTCTTGAAACTCTTGGCAGCAAGAGTACATTTCACAGCCCCACAGACACATTGGTAGATGCTCTTCATCCCATCCAGCAAGTAGCTTTCTGGTGAGTGAAGGAATAGCCAGGGGCCACAAAAAACAAGAAAAAATGAGAACATGAACAAAGGACAGAAAGAAAAAAGAACAGCAGCAAGTGAGAAAGGGGGCAAAGCAAAAGAGGTGCAAGAATGAGCAATTGTAGAAAAAAGTGTCAGAGCATAGTACCAGAGAATACCAGGAGAAGGGGGTACCAACCAAATACATCGCAAGGATGGCTTCCTCAAAAGACGTCGGGGAACCGCTGCACTAGAAGCTAAAGCATAATCTGTGCTAAAAAAGACCCTAACTAACCAAAAAACCTAGGGGCTGAAGCTAATACGAGGTTTTTATATGGAGCTATTCCCATCACCACAGGAAGAGTAGGTTACTTTCCATCCTCAATACTTAAAGACATGAACTGGCAGCAACCAGCAGGTCTGCATTGTTTTTATTTTTTAAAATGTTCTGGATACACATTAACTTCCTTTGCTCTGTAGTTTATTGTTTCATCGGCCATGAAATGGGAACTGCGAACACTTTGATAAATGATCTTTGCTTGTCTAACTTTAGTGTAATTTCTGTAAGTGCCCCTGTATCCTTTAGAAATGTTTAGTAACTTAATATACTCCCCAGTTACTTGCAGTAGCACCTTAAGCTTTCTACAGTAGCAAACTTTTTGTATAGGGAGTGTTTTTTCCTCTTTTCCCCAGTATTGGGAGGTCACCACTTTGTCAAGCTGTGCTGTATACGGACAGTGACTTTAAAAAAAATAAAAATAAAAATTCATATAGGTTCTATACGTGAAGCAACACTCCCAAGATTGACATACCCACAATTTGACACTCCAGCCCCTTGATCTACTTATTTCAAAATAATCTCCCTTATAAACAAAAAAAACCCCACTAGACTCACCCTACAAAAATAAGGGAGTAAAAGTCTTAAAATCCCAACACAACCATCCATCTATTGGAAAGTTGAATACTCACAGTCCAAACAGGCAGCTCCAGCCTTTCTGCTCTCTGATCAGTTCCATTTGTGTGAGGAGGGAAATTGACAATGCTGTAGGAAAGGGTGTTAAACTTTGAGCTCTCTCACTGTTCTCTCTCAAGTCCAGACCTAAAAAGGGAGTGAAGAGGCATTCTTTTAACTAAAAAAGGATAAATTTGGAATCCCAAGGCAGTGACATGATAATGAGTTGGACAGTTGGATTAGAAACAGAATCGGCCATTGTTGGAGCTAAAATATTACAAAGGACCCCAAATAAATGATTATTCAACTTTGTATCCTAAAGGTGTAAAACCCTACCGTCTGTAATAGCCTGGTCCATATCAAACCTGGTGCATTGAGCAACAGCACAGGAAGGAGAAATTGTTGATCTCTAACTTTGCTTTTTCTAGGGTGGGCAGGACATCCTTTCCATGATGGGACAATTGATGAAGCCTAAAAAAACTGAAATTACAGGTATAAAAATTGCTTGCACCACATCTTAACCCTCAACATAAGCTATATATATGCCTACTAGACAAGGAGTTGAAAGAACTGAATTTATGTAGCAACTCTAATGGTGAATTATTTCAGAATACTTCAGAAAGTCACAAGTTAGGTGCCAGCAGTGCAGTGACTGGAATCAAATGCAGCACCGTTGTCCAAATAATAATATCCCATATGTTGCTTAAGACATTGGAGCCCATTTTATTGAGAGTGAAAGTTAGTCAGGACACTAGGATTTATCTCCCTGTTCTTTCAAAATGGTGCCACTTGATATGGTAGGGGACCCAAACATTCCATGAAGGAACAAACCAATACAATTCTAGAACTAAATTCTTCTTTCACCTTGGAGTGTGCTACCTTTCTCATATTATGCAACTGTACAATAGTTTTGCAAAGTAGCAAAATGGCTGTGAAAGGATCACTGTTGAGTGGTTCTGTGTGGCATTGATTCACCTATAGCAACAGCCCATGGACTTTAATATGGGTGTTATAAGTGGAACTGATTCTCTTCTTACCTACAAATCACAGAAGGAAAAATACCTACAGTAAAAATCTTCTGTCCTTTTTGCTTTGAAAGAAAAGGTGCTTCAACAAGTATCTTACTTAAATTCAGGTCAAAGTCTGTTTCAATACTAAAATTGAATGATGCTCTTTTGAAGTATTCCACCTCTTGCAGAGATCACCTTCCATATTCTAAAGTCAGACTATATGTAACATCTTGCACAGCTTTGAGATCCATATGTTCAAAAAGCTAAGGAATTATATTTTTGCTTATATTCAAATGTTACGTAAAAATAAACCAGCAGTATTTAGTTTTCCTTCCAGTCACGCTTGGGAACATGGTCAGAGTTCCTCACAAGCTATGCAAGTAGGAGAACTATCCTAGTTGAAAGTACTAAGAACTTGGCCTTCATGCAGATGATGATGCTTATACTTAGATGAATAACAGAATTCTTCTCGCACTCTCACAGTCTGATGCCTCAGTGTATTTTCACGTGTTTTAACTGTGGAATGTATAAATGTGAGATAGAAAACAATGGGTATTGTGGAAACATTGAAATTGGGAAGAGAGCAATTTTATACTGGATCAGACCTGAGGTCAGTCTTATCCAGTATCCTGTCTGACAGTGGTCAGTACCAGATGCTTCAGAGGAAAATGCAAGAATCCTGCAGTAGGCAGATGTGGGGTAATCTGCCCTGACCAGCCTATCGTTGCTGATCTCTTATAGTTAGAGATTGGCTTAATCCCTGACGTATGAAATTTCGTATTCCTTCTAAAAATTTAGCATTAATTTTAACTCTATTTTTTATATCTATGTACGTGTCCTGCCCTTCTTGAATCTTGCTAAGTTCTTAGCCTCAAGAACTTCATGTGGCAAGGAGTTCTATAGCCTAATTGCATGTTGTGTGGAGATATGGTATATTATTTTTGAATTTGCCACCTTTAATTTCATTGACTGTCTTGTATTACAATACAAATAGAACAAAAGTTCCCAGTCTAATGTCCCCTGTTGTTCATCTCTGTAGGTAAATCAACTAATCCTTTTAATCTCTCTTCACATGAGATTTCTGTGCCCTTAATCATTCTCAACACACTTCTTTGACCCCTGTCTTCATTTTGCAATATCCTTTTTGAGACAGAATGACCAATACTCCACATTATTTCAGATGAGGCTGCAGCATTGATTTATATAATGACTTAATATTTTCTGTATTATTCTCCATCCCATCCCTTGTGCATTCTTCATCTTGTTTAATTTTTTTTTTCCCCACTAAAGATTGGGCAGAGATCTTTGGTCTGTCCATGACAACACCTAGGTCCCTTTCCTGAGTTGATAAAAGTGAATTTAAAAACATTGTAAAGCATAAAGTAGTTCAAATTTTTCCCTACAATTTCCATTGCTTTGCATTTATGGACATTGAACTTTTCTTACCATCATGTTGCCCATTCTCCTAGCTTGGTTAGGTCCTCAGAAGTTCCTCCTAGTCCTCTCTGGACTTTGTCATCTGCAAATTTTGTTACCTCATTACTCACCACCCCCTCTCCAGATCATTAATTATTTTAAATGCTGAACCTAGTACAAAAGTTTAATCTTTTGCCATGATGAACTTTGACCATTTAACCTTATTCTTTGGTTTGTGTGTCCTAGCCAGTTTTTGATTCTTGACAATACTTTGCCTGTCACCCCATGGCTAATTGGCTTCTTTAGTAGCCTCTTGTGTGGGATCTTGTCAAAAGCTTTTTGGTGGGTAATCAGCTGAACTTGAGACCCCAGTGTGACCCTCTGGGCAAAAGGGCTGATGTGATCCTTGGATGCATAAACAGGAATCTCAAGTAGGGGTAGAGAGGCTATTTTATCTCTGTATTTGGCACTGGTGCGACTGCTGCTGGAGTATTGTGTCCAGTCCTAGTTTTTATAAATCGAGAAGAATATTGATAAATTGGAAAGGGTTCAGAGAAGAGTCACAGGAACGGTCAAATGATTGGAAAACATGCTTTATAATGATAGACTCAAGGAGCTCAGTCTGGTTAGCTTAGCAAAGAGAAGATTGAGTGGTGACTTGAGCATAGGCAATAAGTACTGACATGGAGACAAATACTTGATAATGGGTCCTTCAGTGTAGCAGACAAAGATATAACGAGATCCAACAGCTGGAAGTTGAAGCTAGACAAATTCAGACTAGAAATAAGGCATTTTTAAAACAGTGAGAGTTGTTTATCATTGGAGCAACTTACCTGGGGTTGTGGTGGATTCTCCATCACTGACAATTTTCAAATCAAATATTTTTCTAAAAGATCTGCTTTAGGAATTATTTTGGGGAAGTTCCGTGGTGTGAGGTATGCATGAGGGCAGGCTAGATGAGCACAGTGGTCCCTTCTGGCCTAGAATCCATCAATAGAGAAAAAGAAGTGTAAGACTAGTGAGACATAATTTTCTGTTGCAGAATCCATGCTGTGTTTTAATTTTGTTTTTCAAGTTGCTTTTTACACCATTGATGAGGGGTTGTGCTTACAAAATGGCCAGCTTTGTATACAAGTTCCAAGAACTGAAAGTGAGAAACAGTAACTCCCCCAGAACATGACTCTATATCATACTTTCATCTCTCTCTTACGCATATGAGAAAACATGGGAACTTGGGTCAATCTGACTCAAATCCCACAGAGACTTTGCATCACAATTACTCACCCATTCATGATAGGATATCAGTTTAGAATCAAGATGCTAGGAAAGTGGCATCCCCCACTTCAGTGTCTTAGGGTCCTTCCCATAGCTGCAGAGAGCGCTAACAGAACTACTAAAATGGTTTTCTTTCCTGTCTCTTAGACAAGCTTCGAGGGGAGATAAACAAGGTGGTGAATAAATACATTGATCAAGGCATTGCAGAGCTGGTCCCAGGTGTGCTCTTTGTAGATGAGGTTCACATGCTGGATATTGAATGTTTCACGTATCTGCATCGCGCACTAGAATCTTCTATTGCTCCCATCGTCATCTTTGCTTCCAACCGAGGAAACTGCATCATCAGGTACAGTTTTTAAAATTGAATTATACATAAGAGTTAGAATTAGCTGTCTCCATACCAAGAACTATGATCTTTGAATGCTTTCATCTTTGGTGCTGACACACCTCTGATGATCATCTGGATGGATCATGAGCCACACTGAATGCTCGAGGGCTGCACCCCAGGGAAAGAAAGATGACTGGGTTAGAGAGTTAGATGGAAGTATTGTTTCTTCATCTCGTGTTTCCAGGGACCCACCTTTCGATCCCTTCAGCAGCTGCCACTGGCAAGTTTGTTTCCTTGTTCTACTATAACTGCTCTCTTCTTTGGCTTCCTTTAATGTACACATCTCCTGCCTGCCCCCCATCTACATTCAAAACACTGCTGCTAAGATCATCTTCCTGGACCTTGTTTCCCCCGTCCTCGTTGAGTCTTTTCTCTGGCTCTCGTTTCTGCACTGCAACAACTTTTAGCTTATTGTTCTCCCCTTTAAAGCCCTTCTCAGCTTACTCCCTCCCCCACTTTGCACTTTTCTGTTCTATTGCATTGACTAGGCCTCTTGTGCTCCTCCAGCAATGCCAGCCAGTCCATCTCTCTCACAAGCGCACTCACTCTATCACATACTCACACTCTGAACTAGTCAATAAAATCACTCTGTTTTCCCTCAGATCTCTTCAAGAAGCACTTCTACCATGTTGCCTGTGGTAAATTGCTAGTGGATAATTTCTAGATAAATTGCCAGTAGGGATTGATACTGATTTTGTTTTAATTGATTGAACCTGCAAACAGCTACTCTGTGTAATCAGATAATCTCACCCTTGTCCTCCCTTCCCCAGTCCCCTGTGTTTGGTACATCCACTTGATGCATCTGGTCTTCAACTGGAAAGCTCTTTTGAGGAGGGACCATATCTTTCTGTGTGATGGTCTGCACCTAGCACACTTTGACCTCTGGACACTACTGTATTACAAATATTAAAATAAACTGTGCAAAGAACAGCAGCCCTGGAGTGGGAGACCTAGAGAAATGGTACCACCATATGGCTTTTGGAATCACATAGCTGATTCTTACCCTATGTTTGAACAGTTGTTACTAACCGGGTTCAAGCATGGCTTCCCTCACCAGGAATTAGGTAAGGATTGGTATTGTATCTCCTTTGGACCCTGCAAAATACAAGGAAGACCTGTTTAAAGGATTGAATTCCCAAGCACCAGGACACAACTGCAGATACTGTTAAATAATTGACCTGGTAGTAGGGTATGTTAGTGACGGTATCTGTCATGTGGAAAGTCACAAAGTGAATGTCTTTCCTCTTGCCTTAAAAATGGATCATAGATTACTGTGGCAATACCTGAAAATCCATTGGCTTTAGTGTTTAACAGATCATACTACTAACCCAAGTATTTTAAATTGCTTTCCCATTTATATCTGCCTGCAGATGGCCCTTAACAGGATCAAGAGGTGTATCTAGACATTTGTATAATACAATTGGCTCTGTATCCTAATATGACTAGGAATAGCATTATATGAAAGCAGCGTGCCATCTACTGGTGAACATAGTGAGAGATGTTTTCAGAAATTTACTTTCTTGCTGACCCTTTGAATAGCTTCCTTTAGGGGGTCGTGAGCGGAGCCTGAAGCATTCAAATACTGGTACCGAGTCTGGAAATTGAAAGGTCGTCATAGTTAGCTAAGGAGTTCGTAGATCTAGAATCCTTGGTGTCACTTTTCCCTGGTAAAAGAAAATAAGAGTTCTAGGGACTATACTGTACGCTTAATGCACAGTCTTGCCCTTGCACCTCTCAGTCTGCTGGATCACTAACGTGGAATATAAACAACTACAATATTAGGTGAGGGGAATAAAGGAGATAGTATGGAAAACTGAGCAGTGTGATGGCTGGTTTAAGCAAAGAAGATGCTCTCAATGTTCAGTACTGCATATAATTTCTGCTTTATTGGTTAAACACTACAGCAAAAATAATTTGCTCCTTGCTGGAACGTGTACAATATACTTGGGAATATCAGACAGGTGTAGTATGCATGTTCTTTAGGGACTGACTAGCACTATGAGAACAAGCTATAAAGAAGCTGGCACCAGCTAATTCCCACCTTTCCGTATTGCTGTGTGAAATGATTAAGAGTGCAGGGGAAAGAATATTTTCATTTTAGGCTGTTCCAGGTTTAGCATACGAACTCCGGAGTCTGTTCCCCCTTGTCATGGACATAGTTCCCATTAGTATGTCTTGTGTGAGTGTGCCTGGTGGGAGAATAAACCCTTCTGTCCACAGCTTGTTTTATCGTAGCCTGACTCGGTTGCCAATATCTAAACCAGGGGTCGGCAACCTATGGCACGCGTGCCCTGCTCAGCCCACTGCCGAACCCAGGCCGGGACCCTGGCACGCAGGAGCTTGCCATTAAAAATCCTGCCCAACCCTGCCCATTCTTCTCCGCCCCCCGCCCCCCCCGGCGGGCACAGGGTGAAGAATCCTGGTCCTGCCAGTTGCTGCTGCAGGGCAGGCAAGTTCCCCCCTCCCCCAGCTCTTCTCCCAGCATGCTGGATTCCTGCCCCTCCTCCTTTCCCTCCCTGCCACCGATCAGCAGATGGCTCTTGTGAGGGAGGGGAGAAGCGGAGCCGCAGCGCGCTCGCTGCTCTGGGGAGGAGGCGGAGAAGAGTTGGGGAAGGGGGGTGGAATCATGGCATATCCCCTCCAGCCCCCTGCCGTGAGCCTCTCTGGGCAGGGGGCTGGAGCAACCCCACAACCTAGCCCACACCCCCAGCCTCCTGCCCTGACCCTTACACGCCCCCCACACACACCCAGCCCCCCCACCCCATGCCCTGACTCCTGCACGCTCCTCACACACCCCCAGCCCTGACTCCTGCACCCCACACACATACCCAGCCCCCCGCACCCTATGCCCTGACTTTTGCACCCCCCCACATTCCCACCTCCACCCTGGGCACCAAATGGGAGCTCCTGCACCCCCACCCCACATTCCCACCTGCACCAAATAGGAGCTGCCCAGGTAAGCACTCCACACCCAAACCTCCTACCCCAACCCTGAGCCCCCTCCCTCATTCTAGCTCCTGGCCAGACCCTACACCCCAACCCCCAGCCTGCTCCTTCACCCCCAGCCCTGTGCTCAGTGCACTCCCACCCTCAGCTCAGTGCAAAGAGAGAGAGAGAGAAAGAGAATGGGCTAGAACCAGGGAGAAGGTAGGTACCCACTCTATGCGGCCAGGGCTGGGATCCCAGACTGGCAGTGGGCTGAACATGGCCCTGGCTGGCAGGAGCCGGCGGACGGAACCGCAGACCGGCAGTAGGCTGAGCCACTCAGCCCACTGCTGGTCTGGGGTCCCAGCTGCCGGCCCTGTTCAGCCCGCTGCCGGTCTGGGGTTCTGGCTGCCAGCCCTTTGCCAGCCAGGGTCCCGGCCACAGGCCCCGCTCAGCCTGCTGCTGGCCTAGGTGAATGGAACCCCAGGCTGGCAGCGAGCTGAGCAGGCCGGCGGTGTAAGATCAGCATTTTCATTTAATTTTAAATGAAGCTTCTCAAACATTTTGAAAACCTTGTTTACTTTACATATGACAATAGTTTAGTTATTTAATATATAGACTTAGAGAGAGAGACCTAAAAAATGTCAAAATGTATTACTGGTAGGCGAAACCTTAAATTAAAGTGAATAAATGAAGACTTGACACACCACTTCTGAAAGGTTGCTGGCCTGTGATCTAAACCAAGCCCATGTGTTGAACTCTGAATGAGGAGTCTGACCTCTCGTGTATCTCTTTCAGAGGCACAGAGGATATAGTGTCCCCTCACGGAATACCACTGGATCTTCTGGACCGGGTGATGATTATTCGAACCATGCTGTATACGCCTCAGGAAATGAAACAGGTAAGGGCTGTATTAAATACTACTTTAAAAGTCTCTGGAATTCCAGCCTATAGAGAGGTAAGAGCTAGCACTTGCTTACGTGTGATGTTACATTGTAGCTATTTGATCTCTGCTTGGGTAGCAGGATTTACTCCCAGAACCATCTCTGTGCCATGAAGTCTCCTGGGGACATGGTGCCTAACTTGCCTTTCTGGGTTGGTTTTTTGGTGTGTGTGTGTTTGACCAGTATGATGAACTGGAGTGGTAGAGTCTGAATTTTGCCCACGAAAGGGCTGCATTGGTAAATTGGCTGAGGCTTGAAAGGCAAACCTTATCTCACAAGAAAAGGAGTGGATTGTTGTTGCCCTTATCTCTAATACAGAGGTGCTATTTACACAATCTGTAGGTTCCAACGTGCAGTGCTTTTTTGCTTAATATGAAATGGGGCATTATGGGTTGGGACCTTTGGTCTCTGCAGGCTGCACCTCTATGTTAAAGATGAGGGCGGTTGTGTTGTAGAACTCTATAGACTGCTCTTCTGCGACTCCTGCCCTAGATGTACTTTCTCTATCTTTATCCTACTTCTGTCTCTAAACTTCACAAAACCATACAGTACCTTTTTTTTCCCCCCACACTCCTAGGCGGAGTTCAGGAAGAGTTGTAGTGATACATTACTCAATGCCTCAAGACTTTCATGTGGGCCAGCACAATGTATTGTGTATTGATTATAATCCTTGGGTGCCATTATGATGCATCGTGTCAAAGATCTTCCTCATTAGCGTCTCAATAGTGTGAACTGACATGATACAGGAGCCATTACAGTTTATCCTGTCAATTCTTTGTATTATTTAGGAGATAGTGTCAATGGCAGGGAGCATTGTCACAAGATAATGGGCTCATGCTGCTGGATAAGTGCCAAGGTGAAGCTGAGGCATTTATCGAACATAAATGTAGAGGC